ACGCAACCACACAAAAAAAACAACACGCTTTATAAAGTCAGGCAACACTAACCAGGCTTCGTGTGATTCTGTTTATTTGTACCTTACTTTGACCATCCGTTCGCTGTTATTGATCATTGTGGAGAGCAGGCAGACGTTTTGTATTATAGCAGCTATCGGATGGAATCAATACATGGGCTGCACAGGTTGTCATGTCCGACTATCACAAGTAGAATCATAATGAAAAATACGCCGGTAAAAAGTGCCTGTAGTAAACGGCTTAGCAAGTAGTCAGTTTAGCTTCGGTTGCTATGCTAACATCACCCATGTTATACCAGAGAAACTTTCATAACAGCGTTGTGATGCCAAACAGCGTCAATTCAGACTGACACACATTCACTTAAGAGGAACTGGGGATATGTATCAGCTGCTTGTGTGACAGTCAGACAGTGAATACCTTAGAGCCGTGTGAGCTAACCCGGAGCTAACGGGAGAATAAACTCCGGTGGAAGAGCAGCCAGCACTGCAGCGGTCGGCAAATGCCGCTGAAACACATTAATAAACAATGAACCACGGCACTCTGGAGAAAAATATAAGGTTGGAGAAGTCGTTATTTAATTTAATCTGGCTTCGTATGATTAAAAGCAACACGATCATCGACCCGACGCAGTCCCCGACCCGTTGTTGTTGTGAGGTGAGCTCCGTTGGGGTGAAAATCAGCGACGTAAACTGTGACGTCATGACGCAGCAGCGGCAGCACCAGTCGGGCTCTGAGCGGTGTGAAAAGAGCCGGAGCTAAACCGAAGTACCGGTTCTGAACCTGAAAAGCTCTAGCACGGAGCTTGAACCGGAGTTGCGTTGGTGTGAAAGGGGTAAATGAGGCATTTTTGAGATAAATGAAATAATTCAAATAATGAAACAGGCATTTAAAGAGTTAAAATCCTGACAATGATTGAATGTTTGGTAGTTTTGAGTACGTTAGAAGTTGTATATGTGATTCATGAAAAAAAAAGTAGAAAAAGATATTGATGTATGATGATTAATAGCAGTTGTTTGGGGCGTGTACATTTTTGCCACGAAGGTGTCCAGAGGTAGTATCTGACACTACGTAAAAATTAATAATGCAGTCAAATCAATTTTGTTGCTAATCTTTGACACATCCAAGACTCTAATAACCACCAAAGTTCCATCCCTCTACTAATTATTATCTTGAAAAAAATTCATTTTTTGTGTTTTTTTTTAAGAGAAATTAAATAATTCAAATAATGAAACAGGCATTTAAAGGGTTAAAATCCTGAAAACTATTGAATGTTTGGTAGTTTTGAGCATGTTAGAAGTTGTTCAAGTGATTCATGGAAAAAAAAGTTTAATAAAATATGTAAGAGTAAACGACATTGGATTTCAAAAATTTGACTCAAAAGAAGACTTCTTGCAAAAATCCATGCCAAAAGCTGTAACACAGCTGAAATGAACACCAAATCAAAAAAAAAAGTCAGGAAAAATGTACAAAAATGCCCGAGGAGGGCACAAGGGTTAATGTTTTCGGATTTCACATCGCATAAACACCATATATATATATACGTGCATTGCGGCTAAAACATCTAATCAGCGAGCTGAGGATCTTTCCTACGTCTGTTTCCGGTATTGTTCCTGTAATGAGAGTTCACATTTATGCTACATTGAAGGGTGGAATTGACTACACATCTTCAGAAACATAATTTGCTTCAGATATACTGTAACTCATAGCAATATTGTAACCATTAAGAAAAGCCAACTGCATTAAAAACCCAGTTAACAAACACTAGGTAAAGTATTTTTCCTTCAGTAATGAAGATGTAATTCCAATGTAGACACACCTGGGGTCGCTGTTCAGTCTGTTACGCTGAGCCATGCATTGGCTGGAACGTAAAAGGGACGAAGAAGACAAAGTGAAGTGACGTACTTCCGGTTCCATGTGAAAACATTCCCAGTTTAACAACAGAAACAAATCGCTTAATAAAAATATAAAACACTGGCATGTAATCTACGTTAGAATAAATAGAATGGTTTTGAATAATAGATGAGAGTAAAATCGACGTCACTTTACAGCCACCCACTTTTGGGGAAACCAACGCTGTCATTTGAACGGCGATCAAGCCTGAAGCCACAGAGCTCTTCTGCTGTCCTTAGAGGAAGTTTGAGGTGTTTGAGGTGCAATAAACGACACAGCAGCTTTTTGGCATGTTAAAACTATTATTTTCTGCCTCGCAGCTGGCGAAATTACAGCCTCGCCTACTGATTTTAATTTAACCATAGGATATCGAGCCCGATCGTCGATTTCAAATGTGTGCTCTAAAATGATATTTATAAATGACTTATCATTATTATAAGCAAGACAATAAATGGCAAAGATATGTAGAAAATAAACGTATTTGAGATAAGTTCATAACAAACGTAATGTGGGAGAAAATATGTTTCTAGAAGATATGTAGAAAATAAACGTATTTGAGATAAGTTCATAACAAACGTAACGTGGGAGAAAATACGTTTCTAGCTAAACGTAATTGAGAATGCAGTTTAGTTCTGTGGGAACGTAATTTTTAGGAGACAGGGTTGTCCAGCGGTATGAGGTGGATGTGACTCTTGATCCTGATACAGCAGATCCCAACCTCATCCTGTCTGATGATGGAAAACAAGTTAAACATGGTGATGTGAAGAAGAATCTCCCAAACAATCCAGAGAGATTTGATCAGTGTACTTGTGTTTTAGCAAAGCAGAGTTTCTCTTCAGGAAGATGTTATTATATAATCTGGTGTTTTTGAGTTGATGAGTAGTGGAGATATCACTGTCAAATCAATCGACAGTAAGGGGAATACTTACTTCCGGGTGTACAATTCTCCGTTATCCAATGGGAATGGTCGCTCACATTGCCTTTAACAGCCTCCGACATACACAGATGCGGTGCTTCCATGAGCGTCAAATCCCGCCGCAGATGGGAATACATTGCAATCAGTTGAAAGCTATTTGCGTCCGTTTATGAAGCTGAAGGAGCCTATAGGCGCGTCCCAACTGCACGCCACGGGACCCTGACCAAGCGTCGCTCCTGGACGTTTATGGAGTGAGAGTGTGTTGATGAGGTTGAAAAGACAATGAAAATGAAAGAGGTTATGGCAATAGTATATTTTGATATTGAAAAGGCTTATGATTCTATGTGGAGGGATGGGTTACTCATTAAATTAAGTGAAATGGGTATTGGAGGGAGAATGTTTAATTGGATCATGGCTTTTTTATCAGACAGGAAATTCAGAGTTAAAGTAGGGGCAGAGGTTTCGAAAGAGTGCAGTATAGAAAATGGTATTCCTCAAGGGAGTTCAATCAGCCCCATTTTATTTAATGTTATGATAAATGACATATTCAGTATTATGGATGGATGCATCAAATCTGCGCTGTATGCAGATGACAGGGCCATATGGATAAGGGGAAGAAATGTTCCATATGTGTTTGAGAAGATAGGCAAAGCTATAAAGAAAGTGGAGAAGTGGTCATACAACTGGGGTTTCAAGATGTCAGCAAGCAAATCTTGCTTCATGAAATGTACGAATAAACGCAAGATGGAGTCTGAGAAGCTTACATTATATGGAAAGCCGATGAATGAGGTCAATGAATTTAAATATCTGGGGCTATGGTTAGATAGTAAATGTACACGGAAAACCCATATTAAACATTTGGAAACAAAATCCAAAAAAGTGTTGAACCTATTAAGAGCAGTGGCTGGATGTGACTGGGGGGCAGACAAACATTCATTAATCGACATCTATAGGGCAATTATGAGGACAACTCTGGATTACGGGTGTATAATATATGCAGCAGCAGCAAAAACGTCATTACTAAAAATTGATAGATTACAATATAAAGCGTTACGGTTGTGTATAGGTGCAATTAAGTCAACCCCTACTAATGCAATGTTAATTGAAGCAGGAGAGACTCCATTGGAGCTAAGAAGAGAGACTATTGCTCTTGCTTATTGGGTCAGGTTAAAAGGAAGTGGGGAAGGAAATGTCACAAACAAAACATTACAGGAGTGCTGGGAATATTCCAAGTTCCAGGGGCGTGGGTTTGGATGGACAAGTAAAGGAAAAATAAGGACATACGGCATGAGTTAGAGTTTTCACCATCAAATCCATTCAGTGGTGTTCCCCCATGGCTCTTTCCAATGGTAAATATAGATATGAGTATTGTAGAAAAGAAAAGAGAGTGACAAATAAATGAAGTAGGATTCAAAACAAGTTTGTACCTCAGGAGTAATTATCACAATTACCTCACAATATTCACAGATGGTTCTAAGAACAAGGAAGAGTGTGTCGGAGTTGGTATATATATCCCAGAATTTAAAATATCGATTTCAAAAAGAGCGTCAGACCAACTTTCAGTGTATACAGCAGAAATGCTGGCAGTAATTATAGGATTACAGTGGGTGGAAGAGGTCAGACCAGATAGGGTGGTGATGTGCACAGATTCATTATCCAGTTTACAAAGCATACAGTCAACAACAACTGCCAGAGAAGACATACTCATAGAAATCAATCACAGCCTGTTAAGACTCCACAGAGGCGGCATAGATCTGCAGTTCTGCTGGGTGGGAGAAAGACCAGAAAGGCAAAGAGTATCATCAAGTGCAACAGACAATTACAATCAATATTTATAAAGAAAGAAACAGAAGGGAGGAAATCATGATAGCTAGGCTCAGACTAAATCACACTGCATTGAATGGTACGCTGTATGTCATCGGGAAAAGTGACAGTGACAAGTGTGGGAGCTGTGGAGTTAGGGGAAATGTGGAACATATTTTATTACATTGTGTCACCTATAGAGTTGAAAGAGGAAAATTATGGGATAAAGTTTTAGAGGCAGAGAGGGAGTGGAATAGCTGGTATTCTGGGAACAGAAGGAGAGGGAGTAAGAGCTACCAGAAAGGCACTGTTTACATTTGAAACTGGGGTGGAATCTTTTTTTTTTTTAGGTCAGGAAAGATCATAGATGGTTGTTTTGTTTTGTTTTATTTATTTTTTGTTTTTTGTTTGGTTATTTATTTATTTACATTTTTGAATAGGGCATAGTTATATGCATCCATGAGATAAGAGCTGGAAGATATGATGATTCATACTCATGTACAGTAGGTGGCGGTATGCACCTTAAGTTGTTTGCAATCCGCCATATAGCCGAGAGAAGAAGAAGAAGAAGCTGAACGTGTCGGAGATCCCAACGATCACAACAACAAGAGGCAAAACATTATCATTATGAAGAGGTCCAAGCCTTCACGTGCAACGGGAAGGAAACGGAAAAAAGAACAGGAGGAAACGAGAGCCAGAGGTACGTCGGCTTGTGAAAACATAACATCAGTATGTACGGTACCGTTAGACATTTGATTTGAAGCTTCGATGCCATGCTAGCCGCGAGCCTCTGATACAGAAAGTTATTATTAAAGTGGACCTATCATGCTATATTTAAATGATATATTGTAGGGCCATACCTATATAAGGTATATTTATACGTTTCTGTTTTCAAAATACCAAACAGATCATGCATTTTAGCCATGCCTCATTTCGCTCTGACTATGTGCTGTTTGCTGTCTACGGGGCTGATCTCTGTGAGCTGCAGCTGACCACACCCCCCTGCAGGAGAGGGAAGCCGTGCTCTGGGGCCTCATTTATAACGCCTTGCGTAGGATTGACGTAGGAAGGTTGCTTACGTAGTACAAAGCACAAAAATAGGTACATAAATGTTCCGCCATTTTCCGATTCACAAAACATTGCGTACCGGTGAGGGAAGTGCGTACGGCACTCCCTACGCCTGTTTCCCTTTATAAATCACAATCGACTCGTAACGCCCATATTTGCCTATACATAGTCAAAGAAACGCCCATTCATTCATTCATTTTGACTGACTGCATGAAGGAGATCGCAGGAAATAACGATAGAACAGCTAAAAAAGACATCTCACACCGTGTCAGATTTTGGTTATTTTGGGGAGGTCGAGATAAATCATATTGTTTGGTGGGTGCAGTTTGAACCAGAGTAGCAGCATGGAGGTCGGATCGTCACCAAAATAAATAAATAAGTGGTCCGAAAACAGTTAATGACAAAAAAAATACACATAACCTTCCTCAGGCAGTGTGTTTGTACCGGGGACAGGAGACACCCCCTTGATGAGAAACTATAAGAAATGATCGGGGAATCCCTCCGGAGTGGAGTCATGACGACTGGATCTGAATTATTTTTGTTGTATTTGGTGGTTTGTGTTCCAGCTGTCGATCAGCAACTATATATCCATAATCCACCAGTTACAGGAAATACAACTAATGTGTTGTGTTGTATTAGCTGTACAATTGACCACATATGGTGTTCTTAGTTTCCATACCTCCTGTGTTTTACGAGCGACTTATCAAGTCTTGGCAAACGGCATAAAACACGATTAAACGTGATAGTATATAAAACCATGCTCGTATCTACAACCTATAGAAATGCAAAACGGCGTCAGTTTAGACGTAATTCTGTCCTCCTGCTTACCGCATCATTTATGAGAAAACATTTCATAACATTAACACAACATATTCGAGGTGGTTTTAAATAGCATCCGTATTTATTTATTTCTCCAAGTTATGTTTTAGTGTGCACTGAGGAGTCTCAAACAGGCGTTTGTTTAATCATTTTAAGATTGGCTTTAATCAATGTTTGAAAATGAATTCTTCATATTTGATAAATGAGAGGTAACATTTTATTTATGGTATTATTTCCACATATTTCTCTCCATTCTTCCTTCTGCCAACGGTGTCGCAGTTTCTCGTCTCTCCCGTTTGTGTGCTTAGTGCGTACGCGTGGGTTAGAGTTTGCGTGGAGGACCGCACATTTTCCCGTCAAGTTAGTATTTTATAAATCACAAACATTGCGTGGAAACTGGCGTACGCCATTTTTTGAGCGTATATCCCTTTATAAATGAGGCCCCTGGGGCCTCATTTATAACGCCTTGCGTAGGATTGACGTGGGAAGGTTGCTTATGTAGTACAAAGCAAAAAAAAAAAAATAGGTACAGACATTTTCAGATTCACAAAACATTGCGTACCGGCGAGGGAAGTGCGTACGGCATTTCCTACGCCTCGTTCCCTTTATGAATCACAATCGACTCGTAACGCCCATATTTGCCTATAAATAGTCAAAGAAAAGCCCATTCATTCATTCATTTTGACTGACTGCATGAAGAAGATCGCAGGAAATGACGATAGAACAGCTAAAAAAGACATCTCACACCGTGTCAGATTTTGGTTATTTTGGGGAGGTGGAGATAAATCATATTGTTTGGTGGATGCAGTTTGAACCAGAGTAGCAGCATGGAGGTCGGATCGTCACCAAAATAAATAAATAAGTGGTCCGAAAAAAGTTAATGACAAAAAAAATACACATAACCTTCCTCAGGCAGTGTGTTTGTCCCGGGGACAGGAGACACCCCCTTGATGAGAAACTGTAAGAAATGATCGGGGAATCCCTCCGGAGTGGAGTCATGACGACTGGATCTGAATTATTTTGTTGTATTTGGTGGTTTGTGTTCCAGCTGTCGATCAGCAACTATATATCCATAATCCACCAGTTAAAGGAAATACAATGTGTTAGCTGTACAATTTACCACATCTGGTGTTCTTAGTTTCCATACCTCCTGTGTTTTACGAGCGACTTATCAAGTATTGGCAAACGGCATAAAACATGATTAAACGTGATGGTATATAAAACCATGCTCGTATCTACAACCTATAGAAATGCAAAACGGCGTCAGTTTAGACCAGGGGTAGCCAACACGGTGCCCGCGGGCACTTGGTCGCCCGCAGGGGCAACGTGAGTCGCCCGCGGGGCATGTTCTAAAAATAGCTCGCCAAGCAAATCCAAAATGTATAAAATACACAAAACAAAAAAGGAAATGTAATTAAAAGAATCTACCCTATGCATAAACGAAACCTAAATCATAGCGAACTCTATCTACTTACTACAACTCTATATCTATCTAACACCCCTCCTCCCCCCACCCCCACAATGAGTATCGACCAATCACGTTCTTGCTTGATTTGCGGAACCAGCGTTGCAGTCTGGAAGAAAAGCACCTCCCCGCTGATTTTCCTTCTGGCAGAATCTACACAACACATCAGCCCCATTGAACAGCCTAGTCGTGCCAGCCTATACAGCACATGGGGGGCAGAGCTTTACTCTGCGTGTTGCAACTTGCATATATATTTATTGCACTTGACGCACACACACATGACGTAATTTCCACCTGGGACAGGGGGGAAATGTCCCCCGCTCTTTTCGAAATCCCGTTTGTGTCCCCCCACTTTACAATATGTGTTAGTTATGTATTTGTTAACAAAGAACGCAATCCGTCATCAGCCACGGATGAGCAATCAACAGCCTCTGTGTGTGTGTGATGAGAGAGAGAGGAGAGATAAGAGAGAGAGAGGAGAGATGTAGAGACTATAGCTCTGAGGAGAGAGAGAGAGAGAGAGAGAGAGAGAGATAGGAGAGAGAGAGGAATAGTAGTAATAGAGAGCGAGAAAAAGGCCTCTCTCTTATAGAGATGGAAGAGCTCGGCTCTCTCTCTCTCTCTGCTCTCTCTCTCTTATCTCTCTCTCTCTCTCTGCTCTCTCTCTCGTCCTCTCTCTCTCTCTCTCGCTGCTCTCTCTCTCTGCTCTCTCTCTCTCGCTCTCTCTCTCTCCTCCTCGTCTCGCTCTCTCTCCTCTCTCTCGCTCTATCTCGCTCTATCTCCTTCTGCTCTCTCTCTCTGCTCTCTCTCTCTCTCGCTCTCTCTCTCTCATCTCTCTCGCTGCTTCCTCTCTCTCTCGCTCTCTCTACTCTACTCGCTCTCTCTCTCTCTCGTCTCTGCTCTCTCGTCTCTCCTCTCTCTCTCTCTCTAATTCTATAGCTAAATTCGTTAAGAAATCATTCCAATGTGTATAGGACAGTAAAAACAGTTTGAAAGGGGAGTGATTAGTAAAATAAGCATAAATAAAAGGAAAGAATCCTAACTAGGTAAGATAAGAATAACCAAGTTTAAATGATTTGTTATTGGTTGTGATCATATTCTAAAGATGTTTGGATTATTGAAAAGTATACAGCTCTCTTTTATCTGAGTGTTGAGAGCTGTTTCCATAAATTCATGTTGTGCTCAAAGTGCTCCAGATTGATGCATTTCACTTCAACATTTAAAAATAATCTTCCCGGGGGTGCATGCCCCCCGACCCCCCTAGAGGAGGTGAGGCCCGTCCACCCCCAAATAAAGCAGGTTAAAATAATTAAATTGCATGCATGTTCTTTTAGTAAACACTGAAAACGGGTCCCACAGACCCAAACAGCACACAAAGGTTAAAGGTAAGCAGATAATAATGTTAAAATGTGCTAAATGTATACACTGTAAAAAAAGAAAGAAAAGAGGAGTAAAAGTAGCCCCCGACTTGTTTTATTTTTTGAAAGTAGCCCTCACCCTAAAAAAGGTTGGTGACCCCTGGTTTAGACATAATTCTGTCCTCCTGCTTACCGCATCATTTATGAGAAAACATTTCATAACATTAACACAACATATTCGAGGTGGTTTTAAATAACATATCCGTATTTATTTATTTCTCCAAGTTATGTTTTTGTGTGCACTGAGGAGTCTCAAACAGGCGTTTGTTTAATCATTTTAAGATTGGCTTTAAATTAATCAATGTTTGAAAATGAATTCTTCATATTTGATAAATGAGAGGTAACATTTTATTTATGGTATTATTTCCACATATTTCTCTCCATTCTTCCTTCTGCCAACGGTGTCGCAGTTTCTCGTCTCTCCCGTTTGTGTGCTTAGTGCGTACTCATGGGTTAGAGTTTGCGTGGAGGACCGCACATTTTCCCATCAAGTTAGAATTTTATAAATCGCAAACATTGCGTAGAAACTGGCGTACGCCATTTTTTGAGCGTATATCCCTTTTTATAAATGAGGCCCCAGATCAAGTCAAGAGGGGGAGAAAAAAAGATCTCCGTCCTCCGTGTTTTATTATATAGAGTCGTTATTCATTTGTTTTAAAGCTCAATAAATAACAAAGAAGACCTTTGACCGGCACTTTTCTAATTTTGTCCGGAAGATTTAAACTTTAACGGACATCTTGACCGGCGAAAGAAACTGAAACTGAAACTCTGCCGCACGGTCCCCTCGTTTCTTGGAAGAGGCGGAGAGGTGGGTGTTTGTCATCTGCTGGTGGACTACCGGAGAGAATTACAGTGCTTGCCTCGACGGGGAGGGATTGCATTGAATTAAAGCAGCAGGAGCAAACGCTTGCCTCGGGGAGGGAGAAAAAAAGCCACAGCGGAGAATAAACAGAAGGGTAACCA